ATGTCAATTTAGAGGCATGCCCAAGAACACAAAATTGTGGATACAAAAACTGAGGTTACACAGAGAAAAAGATATACAATAATTACTCAAAATAAGGACCTGTTTCTTCTATTTCTAAACATTACCAAAACCAAAAATCCAAAGTTCATCACTTACTATATTAATGCTCAACATTTTATTATTTAATTGACATTTAAATTCTGTTATAGCACATACACGTATCTAAACAGAACATCTGTTTTGGTTATATTACACTGTCTCTTTGGCAAGAACTTATAATAAAACTAACAAAAACAATCAAGAATCTGTATTGGAACTGGCAATAAAAGCAGATTTGTAACCCAAAACCTTAAGACACAAAACAACCATCACTGGGCTCTAGGCCAGTTCTAATCTAAGTCAATAAACAGGATGGGCTGGGATCACTCTTGCAGATATGTAAATTGGGCTAGAGACACAAAAACACATGGGCTACAAAACTGGTAACATTTAATTTTGATCAAAAACTGTCAAATTGAATTCAAATCCAAACATTATTTTTAAAAATTTTCTCCCCCCCCCCCGCCCCGCCTCATTATTTACTCCTTATGTCTCCTTTCTCTCTATACTTTGCTGAAACAGTCTGTTTACATATGTTCAAAAGCATTCTGGCCATTCAACAGGATGAACGTGAATTTCTTTCTAATGACTGAAATATCATCGGCATCCCAACAAGAAACCTTTCTGAAGAGTCCAATACTCATGATAAGCCCAGGAATGGAAAGAGGAATACGGACATGACAAAGACAACAAAATTCTACAATGTCACTTAGATCTCCTCTAGCTATCACAATAAAGAAGAACTGAAATATCTTATCACCTTAACCTGGCATACTCATAATATTCACACTGATATCCAAAAACAATTTAGCCCATCCTAAGCTCCAAGACTAATTTGTACCAGGCCTGGCAGTATATGTATGCCCGCCAGGAGAATCCCAAGTTTGCTGCACCCTGCCTGGGATACATAGTGAAGCTCTGTCTTAAAAATAAAGTGTGGGGGGACTAAGGCTACTTCATGATTACAGGGGAAGTCCCCCTGTAAAGCAGGGCAGTACTGCATTAATGCGAAAGATGTAAGAGCAACCATGACTTTTTCTCCAAATAAAATAGATCAGACTTCATAACATTAGAGGTTTTCTTTTCAATGTATATTTTTATTGAATTTTTGTGCATTTCATGAAATATATTTTAATCATATTTAGAACCCCTTCCTTACCTGCACCCCTCCCCATAGCCCACTCACAGGATTTCACACATTGTCATATATGTTAAGGCATACTGAGTCAAGTTTGTGTAAACAGATGTGAGTTTATCCATTGGAATATTATGGGTTTTACATTGCTAGATACATCTTGAACTGTATAGCTAAGTTCAGTGATTTGTTAGAAAGTAATTTGTTTAAACTGAAGCAAAATGCAAAGGTTCAAGAGATCCAGAGCAGGAGAAGTATGCTGCATATTATTCTGACAGAATCATCCATGATTAGAATTCAAAGAAATCTTAGAAAACACCCCATCAAAATTGTTATCAAATGCCTTCTAACAACACAAAAGTCAATTATCCAAATGATAGCTCATATAGTAGATTAGGTCCGAAACCTAGTCTCAAAAAGAACTTCAGACTTTAATTCTAACAGATCTCAATGTCCATAAATTTGAAAAGCATGCCTCCAAACCTGACTATAATAACCAATCCTGTGTCTGTGGCAAGGCATTGAGGCCCTCATAACCGACATCAATTGACATCCTTTAGGGAGCCACACAGCCACATCTCTAGTTTGTCCATATGATGGAATAGAAAGACTATTAAAAGGCATGCTGAGTGCAGAGGTGTCCATTCATAAGAAATGTATGCTGACTTCTAGAGGTTACTATTCCATTGTCCCCCTTTTAGGGACTCATAAAGTAACACTTTCATAACAATCCTACCTGATCAAAATCACACTCAGTTACCACTTGCAGAACCTACTACATGTTCTCTTTGGAATAGCAAAATAACATGTTTATCTCCAAGCTCACATAATTCCTCAACAATGACCAACAGTGGTGTGATGGCTAATCCTGGGTGTCAACTTGACTGGATCTGAGATTAACTGAAATGGGAGAGATCTTCTTAACTGGATCATCTGAAGCTGGAAGACACACCCTAAATGTGGGTATTACCTTTTGATAGCAGCCCACATAAAAGGCCATGGCAGAGGAGAAGGCTTTGCTTTTTGCTCCTTGCCTTCTCTCTTGCTGGTGAGTTCGTCTTGCTGCTGTAGACTGAAGACTAGCCGATCTTTTGGAATTCATCAGACCTTCAGCTCCAGATTGGAACTACTGAGACATCCAGCCTCATGGACTGAGTGACTACGGATTCTCACCCTCTCCAGTGTGGTGCAGCTATCATTGGACTACTTGGATTCTATTTTGTGAGCTAAGCTGATAAATCCTTATACATATATATTCTACTGCTTCTGTTTCTTTGGAGAACCTTGACTAATACAAGTGGATTCATCATTTTACTCATAAACTCACCCAGAACTTCAGAAAATGTTTAATCTGCTAGAGAAGATCAAATCGGAAGGAAAAGTTCCTTTATCTTATGGGGGGAGGGGTCATCCTATTTTAATTATATTTCATTTTCTATAATTGACATCAATTCTATCTTTTCAGCCCTAAAATCATTTTATCTCCTATGGTAGTTTGAATGAGATATGTCTCCAGTAGGTTCAAGTATCTGAACTTGGTCAGCTGGTGGCACTGTTTGGGGAGGGTCATGGAATCTTTAAGAGGTGAGGCCTAGCTGGAGGAAGCACATCACTGGGGGTGGGCTCTGAGAGTTCATAACCTTGCCCTGTTTACAGTTTGTCTCTTTCTGCTTCCAAATAAACTCTTCCTTCTCTAAGTTGTCTTGGTCTTGGTAGTTTTATCATGCATGAAGAAAGTAACTAATACATCTCCTTGGTTAATTATGATTTGAAACTCTGAATGATTTCCCATGTGGTATACAGAGGTATTTGGAGTAAGGGTACGGAGAGAAAAGAGAGAGCAACAGGGGGATGGTTGAGTCAGGACAGAAGTGAAAGGGGAATATAGAAATCACAGCCTATGTTAACTTACAAGAGCAAGTCTAGGTCAAAAGTGTTGAAGGACAGATACAGAATGTACTAGAAGCTATGCCTGGAAAAGGAGTTCCAGAATGAGTATCTGACAAGATTACAGAAATGCAAAATAGATCATCTGTTCAGAAGAAACAAACAAACAAACAAATGACAGCCAGAGAAAGCGGGGAGATGAGAAAACAAGGTTTCTTCACAGATATTTGAACTGGCAAGTAACAAGCAAATGAAATCGTTCAGCTGATTTTCCTAAAGCAGTCACTATAAATTCTGATTAGATATTTGCATCGCTTAAAGACTTCAAAAGCATATAATGCTATAAAATGCTAGCAAACAGATTCTATAAGTATGTTAAACGAATAAAACCTAATGACAAATCAGAACATCTTTCTAGATGGCTCAATTATAGGAAGACTTCTACACACCACCACACAGACAGATCAAAAGCTCTGCCCCATATTTACTAATATTCTGAAAAGAGGCACTCAGTCTTGACTTATTAAATTTAATGAAATAAAAATCAATGATCTTTAAATAACTTCTATACACAAGCCATTTGACATATATAATAGCTTAGACATGTAAGTCATTAGAAGTGAAAGGTTATGTGGATTTCCAATGTTGATAATTACCAAACTGTGTCCCAGAGATGCTGTACAAATTTGCAATTCCCATAGTAATGTATTATGGTGCTGCTTATTTTGCCAATGTTTTGCCAACATTATTTTACGGGAGTTTTCATTTGTATTTCTTTATTGTATGATAAAACATCTTTTCATATACTAAGGAGCCATTTTCTCTTCATCTTTTGTGAACTATGTGTATTTTGTTCATTTTTCATATCAACTGTTTTCTTACTGATTTCTAAGTTCATGTACTTTTTTTCTTAAGTATTTTGTATGATATATGCTCATAATTTTTTCTATATCGTTCAATGGCTTTGTAACTTCAGTTCCAGGGGATCCAACACCCTCTTCTGACCTCTTTGGGCATTACATAACACGGGTACACCTACCTACATTCAAGCTTTACACTCATACACATATAATAAAAGTAATAAATAAAATATAAAAATAAATAAATACCATACCAAAGTCTTGATGTTTTCTCTTAGTGTGTTATCTCATTTTTACTGTTACTAAAAATTCTATGACGTAGGTACTCTTTTCCCTATTTTAAAGATAAAAGGGAAAGAGATGTAAGAAACCCTTATATTTGGAAAAGGAAGTGTAGAAGTGGACAAGAGAGGGTAATGGAGGGGGAGAGCAAGGGTGTGTTTGGGTATGGGTGCATATGTGTGTGAGTATATGTGGAGGCCACAGGGCAACCCTAGGTATCCTTCCTTAGGTGCCATCCATGTCTACCTTGGTTTATTTTGGTTTGGTCTCTTACTGGCCTGGGACACCCAAGTAAAGCTAGGGAGGTTGCCAGTGAACCCCAGAGATATACCTCTATGTATCTCCTTCTCCCCAACACTTGGATAAGAGATGCAAGCCGCCACACATAGCTTTTTAACAAGGGTCCTGGGGGTAGAACTCAGGTCCTCAAGCTTGAACAGCAAGCACTTCACTGACTGAGCTATCTCTCCTAAATACCAGTTATGGTAATTACCTCTCTTATACTGAGTACAAGCAGGAAAATCCCATGCAAGTAACTGAACCTTGATGTGCTGCTGCTGTGAGAGCTTTCAGGGCCCTGCCCTGCTCTAATAATTCCTGCAATGTTCTTCTTAACAGCAAGAGGTGGTCTGGGAATCAAACAAGACATATATTCAAAGAAGGGAAAATTCATCACAAAAGGAACCTGACAAGGTCCTATACCTTTCCAAGAAAACAAATATTCCTACTGCCCTTACCAGTAAACAACATCCAGTGGTGCAAAGTAATTTTTCATTATTAGGTCAGCAAAGTAAGCTTCAGTTTCCCGACAGGCAGTTCCATTTCCAATCACCACTGTGCTGCAGCTTCAAGGGAGAAACAGAATGAGAAACTAGGTGAGTTCAAGGCAGGCTCTGAAATCAAGCAAAGAAAGCACAGAAAGCACAAACTACTATACACTATTCTCTCGCAGGCACATGCAACCTCTCTCCAGTGTAGACTAGCACAATGCCCCTGAGTTTGGTATGTGAAGCAGGGGAGAAACACTTTACTGTCATCTTAAGGTCAGGCAGCTTTTTCCGGTCTCCAAGAAAAAAAAATAAACATCAGTAAGTAAACTCAGGAGCATTCTAAGCCATAATAAACAACTAAATTATATGATGTTGCCTTCTGAAGTTTCTAACTACTACCATATCCATTCTTCGGGGGGTGGGGGGGGCTCTCCCTTATGCCCTCATTATCACCTCCACTTGAAAGGGCACAGAGGAAGGGAGAGGAACTTCCCTATAGTCTCCATATGTAGAGTTCTCTAACAATTCACCCCAGCATTGTTTCAGGGTTCCTTCTTACTCCCCAAGGCATTTCCCTTAATCCTGCCTTCCAAATTAGGAACTCTAAACTCATTTCTGATTGGCTGAGCCACTGAAATAAATACTCAACAGGCTACTTATTTTCATACTTGAAATCCAGCAAAAGCCTCTTTATCTTCTCTGCCTCTCTGAAGCCTTGTCCACAGTGCAAATATACCACATCAGCATGAAGTATCTGACCTTTAAAAAAAAAACGGGGGGGAGGGTATTGTAAGAAATTACTGACTATAATTTACCAATGTTTATATTAAGCAAGTTGCAACAGAAAATGGGACTTCCTAATCTTTTAAAATGCAATCTGAGGGCCAATCAGATAGTGGGTAAGGACACTTGTTACCAAGCCTGAGGACCTGAGTTAGATTCTGGAACCCACATGGTGGGAGAGAACAAAGTCCCTCTAGTTGTCCTCTGACTGCCACATGTGCACTGTGACAGATGCCCCCCCACCCCTAAATAAAAATGTTAAAAAAAAAAAAACATTAAAATGCAGTCTGAATCACACGTATTCATTCAGTAGCTCAGGCTCTCGCTAAGGACTCAGAAATGCTGTTATTTTCAAAGTACAAGGATTCTACTCTTCCACACAAAATCATTAGCAATTGGATATTATGGTACACGTATAAAAGAATGCTTCCCAGTAATACCCACTGTTAATAGTAGCTAAAGCTCACACTTGATATGTGTGATATGATTATACGGTTATCTTTTGTCTTTTAAGTTGTAGACATATGAAGTTGTTTTACTCTGTCTACTTCTTTTTTTAAAATTATTTTTATTTTATATGTAGGTATGCTTTGCCTTCATGTATGTAAGTGCATCATGTGCATGCAATGCCTGAAAAAGAAGATGGCATTGTATTCCCAAGAATTGGACTTACAGACAGTTGTTAGCCACCACATCAGTGCTTGGAACCAAACCTGGGCCCTCTGCAAGGGTAGCAAGTGCTCTTAAGGCTGGGCCATCTCTCCAACCCCTACTTCATCTACTTCACTGAGCTACAAATGTAAGAACTGTAGGCTTTTCTGTCTTTATTATACATAATTTTTTTTCATTTTTTTAGACAGGGTCTCCTTATAGCCCCAGCTGTTCTGGAACTTGCTATATAGACCAGGCTGGCCTCAACCACACAGAGATCTGCCTGCCTCTGCCTCCAAACTGCTGGGATTAAAGGCATACACCACAATGCCCTGCATATAAAAAATTTAGTTAGAAATAAAAATATTACTTTGACGTTATTTACAAAAAGTTCAGGGTAATTACTTAATGAACAGAAATAAAAGAGTTATGTAAACATCTTAGGGAATTTGTAAAAGAGTCATGGAATAATCCCAAAGAAAGTAATGGATTAGAAATGAGTGAGCCGGGTGTGGCGCACCCTTTTAATCTCAGCACTTGGGAGGCAGAAGCAGGCAGATCTCTGTGAGTTCAAGGCCAGCCTGGTCTACATAGTGAGTTCCAGATCAGGTGGGGCTTCAGGGAGACCCTGTCTCAAAAAAAAAAAAAAAAAAAAGAGTGATGTGATCCCAGCACTAAGGAGACCAACAGGGACATTACTTCAGGTTCTAGGCCAGCCTGGCTACAGAGTGAGACCCTGCTCCCCACCAAAAAATTAATGTCAACAGGAAAAAGGGAAAAAAATGCAACAAAAAGAATCATTAAGATTTAAAGTAGAACATTACTTGCAAGAAATAATCCTTTTAACAATACCAATTAAGGAAGAGACACAAATGATATTAGAAATGAAAAAGCAATATAACTAGAGACATAACACAGCCTAAAAAGAAATGAATCTATTATAAATAAACATATAAAGACCTAGGGCAAATAATGAAACGAAAAAATTCCTAGAAAAAATATTACCAACACAGACTGAAAAAACTTGTGTCTAAAGTTCTAAAAAGAACAGTCTTGGGCTGGAGAGATGGTTCAACATTAAGAACACTGACAGTTCTTGGAGAAGACCTGGGTTTGAATCCCAGCACCCACATGGCAGCTAACAACTGTTCCCTAACTCCAGTTCCAGGGGATCTAACAGCCTCTTCTGACTTCCACGGGCATTGCACAACATGTGTGCACTTACCTACATGCAGGCAATACACTCATACACATAAAATAAAAATAATAAATAAAATATTAAAAAAAAGTCTCAGCAATGCAATACTGAAAAATAATCCATCAACTTTAAGGCAGAGGCAGGTGGATTTCAGTGAGTTGGGGCCAGCCTGGTCTACATAGAGCTAAATAGTCAGGCTCTGTCTGGAAAAAAACCAAACCAAACCAAACCAAACCAAACCAACTACCTAGCTGGCCTAGTGACTCATGCCTATAATCCCAACACTCAGAAAGCTGAGATAGGAAATCTCATATGGGGTTATGCAGTGAGTTAAAGGCTAACATGGGATACAGAGTGAGACTTTGTTTCAAAAATAAAATAAAACAATAAAAATGGGGAAAAAATCTAAATACTATGACTTATCACAGTAGCAGAGTAAATGATAAAATAAATGCTATAGAACATTTCAGTAGATGCAGGGAAAAAACACCGATAAAATATACTTCTCATATGTTGGAAAAGTGAATAGCATAACAAAAACATCAGGATAACAAAACCCAAAAACCCATTACTATATAACAAAAGTAACAAACTCTCCCCACAAAAACAAAAATCCAAGCATGTGGGAGTAACACCTGGACAGCTAAAAGATCTCTGCCCACCAGCATCTGTGTGGAGGAAGCAAGGAAAAGCAATGGGGGATGTGACTGCTCAGAGCATAAGTTCCCCAAATGGAAACCAAAACAGTCACTTTGAGAACAGAAGTTAAAACTGGTAAAGATCCAGTACAAGGTTGCTCAGGAAGTTCGGAAAGGACTAGAAAACTGATCCCTATGAACTTTTAAACCTAACAAGGGGAAGACAACATGCCAACGTGAAGAGAAACTGCAGGTACCACAGCCAACTGAACAAGGCAAGGAGAGGATGAGGAAAGGAGAAAGACCCAGAGAAGGAAGCGAGCAGAAGCCAGTGCCGCAACTGTGAGGCTTCGTCTCAGCCAAGAAGCTGCAGCTGATTGTTCTAATATGTTGGAGAAAATAGAAGTAAAAGTTCTAGTGATATACAGTTAGAAAGCCTGTCCTGACCCAGTATCTTCTTGAAAGTACTAAAAAGTAATTTTATGTAAAACCAAGTAACAGAAAAGGATAGTGGACAAATTCTATACAGAATTATTATTGTTTAAGGTAGACAATAGAAAAAGACTAGTTTAATATGCCCCCAAAACAGAGTATAATATATGTATATGAGTTTTTTGAAAAAGAACTATAGAAACTGAGGCAACATGCATTAGAATCAGAAAGCCACATGAATGAAGTAACACGAATTCATTTCTTATGGAAGAAAAAACACAGTTCTCACTTTAGCAGCACATTTGCTAACAATGGAACAATACGGAGATTAGCATGTGGCCTGCATAAGGATGACATGAGAGAAAAAAATTATTTCAGAAAGAAAAACATAGCCTAAGAGAAACACAGGGACAAATATACATGATAGTAAACATCCTAAGAGAAATAAAAGAGTAAAAGATAACTAAAGATGAAAAAGCTTAAAAGATGAAGAAGCTTAATGAGAATTACTATAATATATATTTTTAAGTATCAAAGAGAAATACTAAAACAAAAAAATTAACTAAATAAAGAACTCGAATAGACAGATTTAACAACAAATCAGACATATTAGATCAGAGGATTAATAATCAATAGAAAATAAAGCAAAAAAACTTAGAAAACAGAAGAAAATGAAGGATATAATTAATACAAGGTGAATGGCATATGCTTTCACCTTGTATTTAGGCTTTAGAAGCCTAAGGAGAAGTCATGTAAACACACACACTGTCAAACATATCACACAAAAACTCTTAGCAGCCAGAAGGAGAACATTACTTTAAAAGGAGCAGTCACAAAACTTTTGGCTAATTTCAACAGAAAATCTAACAACTAAAAAAGTGAAATGGCATCTCTTTTTAAAATTTTTTTTATTTATTTTATTTTATGTGTATTGGCTGCATGGAAGTACACCAAGTTGTGCAGTGCCACAGAAGTCAGAAGAGGGAGTCCCCTGGAACTGAATGGAGTTACAGATGGTTGTTAGCCATCATGTGAACCCAGGTCCTCTGTAAGAACAGTCAGTGCTCTTAACCACTGAACCATATCTCCATCCCCTGGAATGGCATCTTTAAGTAACTATCAATTAACCAATCTACCCATCAAAAATATTCTTCAGAAATTAAGGAAAAAGAGACTTTTTTCAGACAAATGAAAACGGAGACAATTCTTCATCAACTGACCCACATTAAAAGTAATGGTATAATGCCAGGCGTGGTGGTGCTCATCTTTAATCCCAGCATGCAGGAGGCAGAGGCAGGTGGACCTCTGTGAGTTCCAGGCTACCTGGGACTACAGGGAGATCATGTCTCAAAAATACCAAAAAAAAAGTAATGGTATAGAGTTTTTCAGGTAATACAAAAGTGCTCTAAAATGAGAACACAGAAATGCAGAAAGAAATGAAAAGCAACAGACCAGATAAAGTAACTGAATAGAGCAATAAAAATGTCTGATACTATGATGGTTAATCCTGGGTGTCAACTTGATTGGATCTGGGATTAACGGAAATGAAAGAGATCTTGATTGGATCACCTACAGCCGGAAGACACACCCTAAATGTGGGTGTTACCTTTTGATGGCAGCTGGTATTAAAGGCCAAGGCAGAGAACATCTGGCTTCTTGCTGCTTGCCTTCTCTCCCACTGGTGAGTTCTTGCTGCTGTAGACTGAAGACTAGCTGATCTTTTGGAATTCGTCAGACCTTCAGCGCTAGATTGGCACTACTCAGATATCCAACCTCGTGGACTAAGCGACTACGGATTCTCAGCCTCTCCAGTGTGGTGCAGCCATTGTTGGACTACTCAGACTCTACCCTGTGAGCTAAGCTGATAAAACTCTACACATACATATTCATTCTACCGTTTCTGTTTCTTTGGAGAACCCTGACTAATACAGATTGTGGTACCAGGAGTGGTTCTAGAGAAACAGAATTGAAAGGATGAACTTCTTTAATGGGCTTGTTGGTATTTGGAACAGGCTCTCTAACTCGGCATCTTCAGATAGCATGGGGAGCACTGAAAA